TTTAAATTTTAATAATTAAAAATTAAATTTAAATAATTTAAATTTTATAATAATAAACTAACGAAACTATTTGATATAATATCAAATTATAAAAAATATTTGAATTTTTACAGAATAAAAAATATGAATTTTCTATACAAAAAATTCGTGAATATAATATGTTATAAAAACTTTTTTAAAAAATAGATATTATATAATTATTATAATTGCATTAATTATTGTAAGTATTATGTAATTATGTATAATATTATGTAATTATTGTAAACAACTAGTAAATAATTTGCGTGCAATTTAGCAACAGATTCATAGTAAAAGTTGATAGAATCTATATAAAATTATAACTATATATTTCTACATTTCAATTTTGTAGATAAGTCTCGCTATCATAAGCTATTGGAAGCAAAAACGAAAAAGAGTTTCTATAGCAAATTTTATTGCTAAAAAGGCAATTGAGTAGATTTTGTAATTTCAACTATTTAAATTTTAAATGAAAACGTATAATTAGATTCTTTTGACGATAAATAATATTTAGATTTTGATAGTAAATAATTAGCTAGACATATTATTTATATATAACATTATTCTAATAAATTACATTTAATACACAAATTATATTCATATTTTTCTATATGTGTATATATTTATTTTAAACAGGATATTAATAAATGAGAAATGAAATAAATTACTCAAAAAATATAAACGTTAAATATATTCTTTTCTAAGAATTGTTAATTCATAATAATACATAACGATAAGTTCAGATTTTTTAATAAATTTTAAAACTATTATATAGATTACTTATAGTGATTTAAATTTATTTTTATTTGTATCAATACATTTAAAAATTTTCATTTTAATCAATGTAAAACATTCAAAAAGTGATCTTTTAAATAATTTTTTTTTAAATAATAAATAGATTTACATTTTAATTATGTTGATATTTTTATAATCATCATTAAATTTTATTTATTTAAAGCTAATCTGATTTTGTTCATTAAATACTTAATTAATCTAAAAGATAAGAATTGTATTGTTTAATATAATTGTTTAATATTAGACTTTTATTTTATAAATCCATAATTTGATTATAAAATGCTAAAAATATTAACAAGTTTCTTGCCTTAACTTGTCTTGCGTAAAAAAAATGAAAATAAACTTGAAGAATGAAACTACTTTCATTTTATTACATAATTTTGATTATAGAGTATTAACGAATATAGATACTTTAAAATATAATTTAAAATATAATAAGCAAAAATTTCATTTTAAATTTTTCAAAATTTTTCAAATAATTATGAAATTTCTAAAATAAATTAATCATAATTTATAATTCTTATAGTTAATGTGCATTAAAGTATGAAAATAGTTATATTTATTTTTGAAATTTAACTTTATTTTTTACTTTAACTTCATAGATTTTTCAATTCATATTATGTTTCTTTTCTAATAATAGATATAATCAATAAAAAGAATTGTTTAATAATTTTAGTATGTGAATTTGAAATATTTCTAAAATATAAGAAACAAAAATATAAAAACAAATATAAAAACAATAAAAACAATAAAAAAACAAGTATAAATTGATCGAAAATTTTAGTATAAAAACAAAGAATTTGATTCTGTTATGTAATGAATTCGAGTTAATCCCGTTAGTATAATCAAATAGATATAACCAGGTTATGCCTCTCTCAGTACATGAGATTTAATTTTTTAAATATTGTGTATTCGTCATTTTTTGATATTCTAAAGTATTCGATAATATAATAATAAAATTACATTTTAGATTTATTAATAATATAAAAAATTATTTAATTCGAAATATTATTAATTTTGAAAATTAATTTCTTTATAAGATATAAATCAATTTCTTTATTACAAACTTTATTTTATTATTATATATTGTGTTGCAATATTTTTTAAATATATTATTATTGTTGTTATTGTTGTTGTTGTTATTGTTATTATTGTTCATATTTCATTTTTTATGCCATCATTCATGTTAAATATTTACATATTATTATATATTTTATATGTATATATAATACAAATCTTTATTATAAAATTTATCTAATATTCTTCAGTGATATATATTTTATATACAGGATATTAATAATTCAACAAGAAAATTGATTTTAAAGTTTAAAATAAATAAAAGTTGATATACAAAAATATCGGTTGAGATTTAATGAATTATAAGTAATTAAAATTTACGTTAAATGAAACGAGAAAAAAACAGAGCGAGATATGATAGATAGAGACAGATCTATTTCACTCTTCTTACCGCGTTTTACAGAAATTTCAATTGCTTATAATTGGACAAATAAATTTCAATTTTTGTGTTTATTTTAAACTTATTTTAGAATCGATTCTTTGAATATGAATATATCTCATGAATATATTAACATCCTGTCTAGGTACTTTTTATAAAAATTCATATATGTAAAAGATTCAAAAATAAGAAATTTTTTAAAATAATTAAAAATTTTTTCAAATAAATTATTATGTTTAAAATATTGAAAAACAACAGGATAAAACTATTTGCATAATTTAAAAATTTAAAAATTATTCTACATGCATTGATTCAAAGATCTTAGTTAATCATTTACTCGAATCGATCAAACATATAACTTTACATGTTGCAAAGTAGTTGGAATAAGTAACTAATATTGATTCATTACGGAAATAAAAGAAGAATGTAAACGAAACTGCATAATTTAACATGTGTTAAGAAACGAAATAATGCGGATTTGTTTAGAAATATCACAAAATGTAATGTAATTTTTGAAGAATGTATCAATTTAATTAATCATCTGTTTCAATTTCATTATTAATAACTAATTATATTAAATTATTTCATTATACTATATTACATTAGGTATTAAAAAACTGAAATAAATTCATATGAAATATAATTCGAATTGTAGATAGAAGTCAGTTTAACATGTCGTACAATAAAAGTTACTTACGTATTCGAATCGATCTTTGCAAAGTTGACTGAGGAGACTTAGGAAGCCAAGCGCGGTGAACCAAGCCCACCATAAAACCACCTCATCCATATACTGCACATTTAGTACACCAAATACGAAGATGAATTTGTAGAAAACAAAATTCCAGAATTTATCCTTCAGATGCTGTCTCTCGGATGCTCGAAGTTCGCCGAAAACAAGCTTTTGAATCGTTTTACCGAGTAAAACCAATATGCAGTATGCCATATTAATCAAGGTCTGTTGAAAATAGAAATTATTTATAATATAATATTTTATATTTTTAAAATAGAGTAAATCTAGTATAAATAAACTTTGTGGAGATGGATCGATTGCATAACTTCTGAAATAGCCGTTTGATGTTACAATTATTAACTTACTTTAATTCTATTAGTTATGTTTTAAATATTAAGAAATTTATTTAATTAAATTATGCTCATGTAACATGTAGTATATTATTTTTTCAATTTCAGTTAAGTGGGAAAATTTCTTATATACAATTTATCTTCATGAAATGTATATTTGTATCGATTTAATAATAAAGCATTCTTAAAATGATTCTTACTCTAAAATTTCTTGAATATCTATTGCAAATATTTTATGTATCTTACATAACTAATTTTAAATATACTAATTAATTAAAAATGGCATGATTAGACTAAATGAGAAAAAGTTAATTGGGTTACTATTTTTTAATAAAAAATATGTGAGAAATTAATCTATAAAAAAAAAATATTGTTATATATATGGATAACGGATGTTGAAATGATAATGACTGTCGAATGAAAAAATTACAATACAATAAAAAAAATACATAATATCATGATTATTTTAACTGTTAAGCTAAATAAAATATTAAAATATAAAATAATAGGAAGATAAATTTATTTTATCTCTTAAATAAACTTAATTTAATTTATTTATCATATTTTTTAAAATTATTCTAATTGCAATAATATCTATATTTTAAAAAAATTATAAAAATTCTAATACCATGTCATATTCATGTCATATTTCATATTCAATTTTCGAATGTCTTACGTTGTCTATTTTGAATATCTTTACGTTGTTCTTAAAACTTAAGTTTCAGATATTTTAAAATCAATTTAAATTTATTACATTTTATGATGAAAATAGAAAATACCGTTTTTCTTTAAAGCTATATCGCTTTATTTAATGCAAATTTAAAATCTTTAATTTTAATTAATTTAATAAATAAATCTCAATATTTTTATATATAAATTTTTGTGTTTGTTTTGATTTTTAAAATTGATTTTTCAAAAATATTCCACGAATAAAAATATTAACACCTTAATTATAATGCATGGTATGTATTAGTGTTATGTATTTCCATATTCATTAATAAAATAAGAATAACAATAAGCTATAAATAGGACGTAGGGAACAAAGTCTCATCTTCTGAAATAGAATTTCATTTTTTCTTTTTTGAATCGTGTTGCTATTTCTTTATTTTTTTTCGGTATTTTTATAATTTGGAGAAATCAAAATGAAAATATGTAACATGACAATAAAAAAAAAAAATAAAAAATTTGTGAAAAAGATAAAAAAAAACAGAGATGAAGAAGTATATAAAAAATATTTTTTAATTTTGTAAATAAATCTTAAATATTTTTATACTTCCTAAATGTTTATAATTTTAAAAATAATAAAATCTTATATTAGATTCCTAAAACATTCTTAAAAATATTAAAAATATTACTTTCAGACATTTGGAACATGTGTAAAGAATATCGATACAGCATGTTTTCAGGATGTTCTATTTTATAAATGGAACACATTTTTCTTAAATATATAATTTTAAGTAGAAGAATTATTCATAATTATTAAAATTTAAATAATTTTAACTTGTAAACTTGTAACTTGTAAACAATTTCATATCTTTAAAATAATATATACAAATATATACAAAAAAATAATAAAATAATAAACATATATAAATAAAAACAATAAAAGAATTAAAAATAATATTAATTATTATATACTTAATTGTTGTTGGCAAAGAATAATGATAAAGTTAAAAATGCATTTGAATAAAATAACAAAAAACTGAGAATAATGAAAAATTTGGAATTAACAATAACGAAATATCTGCGTTTGAAAATAGAGAGAAAAAGAAAAAAGAATAATAAATAAAGAAAAATAAATAAAAATAAGATTAAAAAATATCAAAAAATAATGATATATAATTAAATAATATATAATATTATAATAATGCTAAATAGATAACAAAAATTATACAGATAAGTTTGAATCACTATAAATCACTTTTGATCTAGATTATGATCCATATTTCGAGGATATTAAAGAAGAAGATTAAAACAAATAGTATTTCTTTATATCCATTCGAAATTATTACATTATTTTCTTTACAGCTTTTTTTTGACGTTTTATAATAAACACTTGCATTCTATTACATTGATTTAAATTCACACAAATAGTTTTGTCAGAAATTCTAAATTTTCAATATGATATCACATTTGGGAATTATAATACATATTATTACTATACAATCTACTGGCACATGTATGTAAGATATGATTTCATGTGATATTAAATTATGACTTTTGTAATCATGATATTAAATGTCATGACTTTTGCATTATCATAGCATTGAATTTGGTATTGCAACATACAATGTCATGCTGTTATGCAGTGTCACGACAATGAAAATCATGACATTTAGTGAAAACCATACTTAATACATGCCAGTAGATAATATAGGTAATGCAATCGCATCATGTTATTCTCTTTCCAGTTAGTTTTTTTTCCTTCTCTATTATTCTCAAATGAGAATGCAACTTCATGTACTGAAAATCGACTCTCGGTAAGCAACACTCACTTTACTATAATCGAATTTTTACATGAAAACCACATATGTATTTTTAAAATTACAAACAGGAACGGAAAAAAAAAAAATAAATAATCTTTTTTATTCGGAATATAAAATACCAATCATATAGATACAAAAATTGTGTTTTCAAAGATTTTGATTATAATACTAGTTATCAGTTATTAGTAGTATCTACTTTTGAGAATGTTTTGACTAAAGTCAAAATTATAAAATATTATAAATTTATTAGAAAAATGATTTTAGATGATGAATTATAATACTAATTATCAGTATATATCTATTTTTGAGAATATTTTGATTAAAATCGAAATTATAAAACATTTTAAGAAATAAAAAAAGAATAGATATGGCTAAATATATTTTAAAATATATGTATTAAATAAGAAAATTACAAAAATTTAGTAGCAATTAGAGACAATTTTTATAATTTTTTGGATTAATATGTAAATATATTTACAATATGTAAAATGAATATAATAAAAAGAATTTGTATAAATATGTTGAATATCAAAATTGCTTCATCTAAACAATTGTTTAAAAAATTGTTTAAAAATACTTATTTTAAATATTATATATAAAAATAAAATTTAATTTAATGTTTTTTATGTATAAATAAATAATAAATTTGTTTATATAAATTTTAATAATTAACTTAATGAAATTTAATATAAAAACATTTTAGTTACCTATCTGGGTGAAAGATATAAAAGATAGAAATTCAAAATATTTAAAGATTCTGGTTAATAGATAAAAAAAAGATGGAATAAAATTGTTAAAACAATTTTAAAAATAAAAATAATATCTAAATAATGATAAAAGATTAAATATATCGGGAAATGACATTTTTATCTTTTTTTTATAATAAAAAGAAAAAAATATTTTGAAAAATACATTATTAATATTATTCTAAAAATAATATAATATAATTACATTAAGATTTTTATATGAGAATAAGTGAGAGAACATTTTCCTTTATTTTTAAGGTATGTGTTGTTGAATAATTTGTTTTCTTCAAGAATTTATTAGAAAATCAGTCAATCAAAGAAGTAAATCAGTTCAATCAAAGTTATTTTGTTTTATTTTAGTAATTGGAAAATCCCAGTTACACTATATAGAAAGAATATACAGAAAGTATATCCTTTGATAATTATAATTTTTTTATTATAATTATTATATTTAATTAAGTTATGAATTATTAATATTTAGATTTGTTAACATTAAATGGCCTGATACATAAATATATATAGTATCTAATAATTGATACTAATAATTAATACTATTTGAAGAAAAATTGTTAACAAAGTTAAAAGTTTTTATAAATTTATATTATATTTATTATTTTCCATAAAATACCAAGTAAATATAGAATTTGTTAAAGTCCTTAACATATATAAATATGTATTTAATTTAGAACTTTATTCATTTTATATATTATGCATATATATTATATTATATTATAATATATATTATATATTTTATATTAAATTATATTTTTCTAGTTTTTATAATGTA